AAACAAGATCAAAAAGATTTTTTGGCTGGATATAAGATTTTAAAACTTGGTTAGGTGGACAGTTTTTGCAGTGAATCCGATTGTTTCTCCAAACTGAGGTTGTTCAAGGAGCTATCCACAACAGGTAAGATATTAATTGCTCACAATCTTTCCACACAACCACACTTAAAACATTTTACACTGTGGCTTTTTTATTTATTTTTTTATTAAAGCCTTTTGTTTTTATCTTGCTCACACTTATTTAGTCTTCTAACAAAAATGCTGATACCAGTGACTTTTGTGCTCCTCAGCGACTCTCTTGGTCCAGTCCTCCTGCACCTCGTCTCCATTAGGCCAGTTCTGCAAAAGAAATAAATCAATAAGGTCAACTAAACAGCAAATGACTGACAGGAGAAAGAAACAAGCAGTGGTGGGCATCACTAATCAGCTAATAGCAGAAGATTTTTATTTTGTTTAGTGGATTAGCTTTTTCACTAACTTTCACATCCATTAGCGGACCAATTAGCTCCCGCTAAATTAGGTTTTTCCAACTTTAAGTCGGCTACCAGCTAACTAACAAACTAACACCAACAGGTTTGTGTCAGTCCCACCAGTCTTCAGCTCAAAGGAGGTGAAGACGTGTGGTGCAGACTCTTTCTATGCAGTTTAGTAATGTGAAAATCTGGTGACAGAATTAGCGCAGCTTATTTAGGAATAATCTGTTTTCAATCTGAGTCCAAACTCTCGCCACATGTTTGAAGCTGTGTTTGCCTGTCAGTCAGGTACGCATCAGGAGGAGGATCACAGTTAAGACAAGAATGTGTGCCTTCGAGCAACACGTTCGAAGAGACACAAAAAAAATTTTCTTTAAACTTTACAAAGTCCGAAAGACTCACCACTGGGAAGAGCGCGTACTCCCTGAGGAAGTCCTGAGATGGGAAGTCAGTAAAGTCTCCAAARTCGGCTAAAAATTAGAACCAGAAAAAGAAGAAACAGAGTTTGGTTGATTTAAAACTGAGCCCTGAAGGGTAAACAACAAATTGCATAATATTAATCTTAACAAATCTGTAAAACTGAATGTTTACTGAATTAATTTTTTTTTAGGAAATTTACTTTTGTAACAATCAAAAATATTGCCTAAAGTATAGTAMGGCACAAATACAAATTTACCTAATAAGTCAAAAATCATATTGTTGTTTTCTGACATTTTGTGTGGTTGGCAGATCAGAAAAGAATAAGTTTTCTTCTTAAAGATACCTTTCATGYATTTATTTTAAAATATGTTGAATATAGTTTTATTCTGAAAGGTTAAAGCGTCACAGTTCACACAAAACTCAACGAATTTCAGAGTAAAGATCCTGCAACATTTCAGATCACCACCAATGAAGGTTGTTTGAAACAAACCTTTGAATTATTTTAGGAAATTATACAGACAAAAGACATAAAAGGTGTTTTATAGCACAGACTGCTGGAAGTAGCAGAACTACGTAAAGTATGTTTTTGTTCTCATWGAATTTGTGTGTTTTATGATGACATGTGCTCTTTCATGCCCAAATTCATCTGTCCAGGAATTTGTTTATCTGTTTACTATTCAAGATTGCCAAACTATTTTGACCCATTATCAACCCACACGTGTGTAACGCATCTTCATAACACGGCTGTTCTTCAGATAGGCCTCGAAGCACCTAGTGCTGTTTGTCGGACAAAAGCTCCCTGCCTCCTCGCAGATAAGAGTCTTCCTCCTGCAGCTGAAGCCAACCTTGGMGCTGCTGATAAGCTAAATGTCTGTTTACATTTCCCCTGGGACACAGACGGCACCCAGGAACAAGCCGGAGAGGCTGGAGTGGGGGGGCTGTGTGCGTACGTGCTTGTGTTAGGATTGATAGGAACTCAAGTGGACTGGGTTCTCCCTCTTGGTATGCAGCCATATAAGGCAGGAGAGTCAAGCTGACCTGCAGGAGCACGAGTTGTGCGCACTCAGTCTGACTTTCTAGTAAATTATTTGGAAGTTTTCACGGTTSAAGTGCGCGATTTACCTTGTACAGCTAGACCAGCTAGCCTGATGCCCCGCTCCACGGTGCATGGGAGGCGTCCATCCAGCACCTCCTTCTTCACCTGCAGGTAATACTGATACCTGCAATGACAGGAGGGGAGTTCAGTTATAGAAACTGGATTAAATCTAATCTRAGTTGTAAAAATAAGTGGAGTTGCTTTTAACTTTTTGGCAATCAATTTTAGTGCTAAAACACTAATTTATTCTGCAGGCTGCTAAAAAAAATACAAGCTAGCTTTTTACTAGCTGGTACTAATTAATAAAAACTTAAAGTTTAACCTACTTCCTAGAAAAAAAACTAGTCAGTTTATGTTAACTAGTAACTAGTTGGAGTAGCTAGATGTTCTACCAGCTAGCTAAAAAGCTAGCAAGTTGAATGTTRTGTTTAGACCATGTGTCAATTTCAAGGCACGTGGGCCAAATRTGGCCTGTGGATGACTTCTGTCCGGCCCGCCAAGAGGGCCCCGCCCCCTCAAAGTTAAACATGAAACATTGAGGTTAATTACAAMCGGGCCTTTGAGGGTCACCATAACGTGTGAAAATCAGTGAAAATGAATTTGACCCCACTGGTTTAGACAAAGCTCTGGTCCACAACTTGAGTTTGTTTGTTTTTTTATGCTTAAGGGATTTATAGGTCAAAGTTAAAAGACACACAAAATAACAAATTARTTATAACAATCAGGTTCTGAACTTAGAATTACTGAAAAAGAAGCTAAAATTTCAAGTAAAACCTTTAAAGTGCCTGTGATGTCAAATTTTTGTAATACATATGAATGCATTTTTAGAAAGAGAACATTGATAAAATATTGCAAAAGGAATTTCATGTCACTGAGATGAACAATTGTTGAGATATTTGCCTGTGAAATAACAGGAAGTGATGTCAAAGGGGAATGTCTGCATGTAAACAGAGCATCAACCCAGACTGTAGAGAAGAATCTGATGTTTCTTAAGATTATTTTGAGTCACTATCAGAGAGGTGAAGAGTCAAGAGTTCAAATAATATTGTTTCAAACAAACAAAGACCAGAGAGTTTTCTTTGAGTTCCCCTTTGATGTCACTTCCTGTTTCACTTTGGTTGAGCCAAGTTCAAAAGAAAATATGCCAGTTATGTGACAAAATCGGTTAAATCATGTGTGCCAACTTTAAATATAAAGATGTTTTATTTGACTTTTTGTATTTGAAGAATAAGCATGTCACAGGGACNGTAGAGAAGAATCTGATGTTTCTTAAGATTATTTTGAGTCACTATCAGAGAGGTGAAGAGTCAGAGTTCAAATAATATTGTTTCAATAAACAAAGACCAGAGAGTTTTCTTTGTTAAAGAGTTCCCCTTTGATGTCACTTCCTGTTTCACTTTGTCTGAGCCTAGTTCAAAAGAAAATATGCCGGTTATGTGACAAAATGGGTTAAATCGTGTGTGCCAACTTTAAATATAAAGATGTTTTCTTTGACTTTTTGTATTTGAAGAATAAGCATGTCACAGGGATGTTAAAGGCCTTCAAAAAGCTAGAATAACTAATAATTTAACTTTAGCTAGCTTAATTTTGTTTCTAAAAGACGTTTATTTGAAGATGTCACTAAATTTAATAAACCAAACCATGCTACCAGTGTTGTCTGTAAAATATAAGTTTATGCTTTTTTTTGTTAACAAGTCATTTACTGTTTCTGTACACTGCTTTTGCAAAACACAGTCAGTTTAAGTTCGACACATTTGTCCAAAAGAAGCAAGAGTAGTTTTGCACTTCAGCGGCTGAAGAATTCTAAACAAGGTGACACCGCAGACATTCTGTTTCTGCTCCGCGCGACAGAAAATGTGCGTCAGGAGGCCGTTCTGGCAGCCGTCCTCGTCACGYTGAACAAAGCCAGAGAGAGGCCTGCTGCAGAAGTGAGGAGTGAGTGAATCACCTCTGAAATACCACTGACTCATTTCTGAGCAGAATGCCAAGTCAAAGCTAAACAAAATGATTTTATAGGTTCATAAGATTTATCAGGGAACAGAAAGCACGTTGCACAGAGTTGGTCAGGAAAAGAGGAGCATTAAAAAAAAAAGCGCCGTGCAGATGAGAGGCCAACTTTCACCGTGGTTTTAGGTGGTGGTGGTTTTAGTAAAGCCGATCCGATGACGATGCTCAGATTTCTAAAACCACTCGCTAACTCAGGAAAAATATTGGTGAAAGTCACAAAAACCAAGATGCTGAAAAATGCGATGCTTCTAAAGTGTCTGAGCTCCMTTTTGTCCATTTTTAGTCTCGGTCCAGCTGGATGTTTGTCTTTTGAAGAATAAGGCTTGACCACACAGGAGGAAAGGGAGGACTGTCAGGGTGACTGGGCTCAGCTGCTTTAAAACCTGCACACCGTTTCCTGTTTGTTACCAGGGCAACTTTCCCATGTGGACCGTGAGCCGCCTCCTCTGACACACATTTACAAAGTTAATGCATAGACGGTCCGTGCCAGAGTGACCGAGTCTACGTGGAAACCACAGGGAGGCTCGGTCAGTCCTGAAAAACAACTCCTGAGTGATTTCATTAGTGAAACTCACTCTCACTCATCCTGAACCACTTATAGTCCTGTGTGCGTGTTTCATATCCACCGCATCACATTTTTATCCTCCATAGTTTGTCACATTCTCTCCAGTTTTCTTTTTTGAGCTCCTCTAGGCATACTCCTCGGGCCTATAATCTGACCCTGCCCTCCTCCCCTGTCATTACACCCATTGGCTAGGATGCCATTCTGTTCCCGTGGCAATCCTCTAATTAGTCAACCACAGAGGCTACAGCAAAAGGGGCGTGGCCTGATGTGGTCAGAGGAGGAGGAGCCTTGCGGGGTAAAAAAAAAAACCCTTTCAAGCGATTGTGGACTTTGTTTTTGACAAACTCTTCGTATTCTCCCCCTGCAGTCTCTCTACGAGGTCTGGGGAAATGTTGAGGTTGGTTTCTCATTCTGAGGTGGAATGGTAACAACATGGTGGTGTTTATATGCGAGGCCAGCGGCGGCGAGGCGGACAGTAAACTGTTGAAATAACTCTGTGTAGGTTAAAGTGTGACAGTAAAAAGCAGTGAAAGATTCCACAAGAATATAAATCTCACTGAGCTCATCTTAGGACAAGCAGTTCCTGAGATTTGTTGTATTTCAACTCATAACTCCCTACACATTCGACCAACATAAAAGTTAGTTAAACCCAGCTGTTGTAAAAAGTTATTTAAACAGAACAGACAAAATTCTTGTTCGCTAATTTAACAACAATGTAAACATTTWTAAATGCAATTTGCATTCACATAGAACTCTTTCTGAAGGCGCTAGCTGTAGCACATCTGGTGCAGCCTTGGGCACATCCCAAAGGTATATTAGAGCATTTCAGCTAGAGTACCAGAAAGATACAAAACTGATGGCAAGTAAAAGTTTTTACAATACTGTTTGCATGAATCGTTTTGAATATTTTGAGGGTGGAGTTTAACGGATTGGAGCGTCTTWAAGGTAGCTTGTACTAGCCGTCGGCTAATCAATCCAAGGATTACTTTTAGAGTTACACCAACATCTATCCATTGGTGAATGAGAAGTTTTGCTAACAGACCAACAGTGAGAGCAACTCAAAGCTAACACCACACCCAATTTCAGCAGAACGTCTGCATCATAGTTACTTTCTGTGTTTAAAGTTAATTACTATCCAGTGATTACTTTTTAAAAGTTTCATTAAAACCCATCAAGTGGTTCATGGGATATTTTGCTAACAAAGGACTAAAACATAAAATTATTTCTTCAAAATAGGATTGTCCCAGTACCCAAGACAGAGTACTTCAGTTTGGGTACTCGCCGATGAGTACTTACAGAACCTAAATATTACATGACGACTTTAAAAACACATTTGTTTTATTTAGAACCAATTGGTTCTCATTGTGTAAATTTCTTAAACATGGAAGTGACAAACTTTTCACTTGAAGTGGAGCATCAGTAGGGGTGTAGGAAAATATCGATACACTGATATAAATTGATATTTCATTTCCCGATTAAGGTTGGGCAATGTTGGCAAAAAAAATCACAATTAATTGTGGTATTTAGCTGATAACGTTTAATTTGACGATTAATCCCCTGGAGTCCCTGGACACCCTTATGTCCTAGTCACATGACCAATTTAGTGGGAAAGATTTGCTTTTCATAAAAATCTGTTCCAAATTGTGTCAAAATTACAGACTTCAGGTCATACATACACTTTTTAATTGTGTTGATGAAAAAAATAAATTACAGAACTTTTCTTTTAATGTTTGTCATATTTGAAGCGGAGAGGAGCACCGAGCGGTCAGTCCATCTGGTGGCATTAATCGTCAAGTGCCAAAAAATAAACTATTAATGGTTTCTGATAATTAATTGCACACGATACAATTATGCACAACCCTATTTCCGATACTGTATTGATTCTCTAAAGCCTTGATTTTTAATTAAGGTTTAAAATGTCAACTTTCCTGCAAACGGTTCATTTTTATGTTGTAGTTCAGCCTTTGACCACGAGTTGGCAGCAGTGAGCCAGCCATTTGGCTCCTCTACTCCTAAGGAGCCAGAGAGTAACGGTAGCATTAGCATCGTGAGTAAACATTAGCATCATGCACCGATGGCTGAATCTGAGCAGAAAAGATCGACACCCTCTGCCTGTCTCAGCTGAGGTAAGGTTACAAACAGTTCCTTGAATGTTTGTATTTAAAGCCAAATTGTTCAGGGTGGGTTTTTTTCCCGACTGTAGTCAGCCGTCACGTTACGAAAGGCAGGTATGTAGGCAGGCGTCTAGCGCCCCGAGCTTAGGGGGTGTTGTGCAAAATTCAGTTCCCCTGTGAAAATCTGTTCCCCATGTCGGGAGGGCACACTGCAGCCAGAGAGGCGGCGCCGACCATTTTCACAGCGCTTCTGATGAATTTCTCGGTAAAAGGACTCATAATCTTGTGAAGGTAACTTTCAGTTTAATCATCAGCTGCTGTGAAAAAAAAAACTCTAAAAGGAATAAATAAATAAACCTGGCCTTTTTTTAAGTCACAAAGAGAAAGTCCTCATCAGTCCTTTTCAAACTTTTCTCATGTTCTTCTTAGCCTCACTGT